AGCCTCATTCTGTGACATTCAGATGCAGCTGTGTGATGTAATGTCCTCCTGCTGGATCCCAGCTACCTGCTAAAGGACTGTACAGAATTCTCCTTCTGACAAAAATACATATTAAACATGGTCTACTTTGTGTTCCAGATTAGGAGGATCTGGAAAAAAAACAGGACCCAGTTTCCACTGAGTTACTAAAAACTCTGATGTAAGGGTTCTGAGTTCACAAGTCAAACAGCAGACATTCAACCACTTATGCAGGAAAGCCTCTATAAAGGCACACTATGGTGTGTTGAGTGTAAAATCTAAGAGTAAAAAATGTCTTTGATGAGTATCAGTCACTACCTTCCCATAATGCAAATGTTCAAACTGGATACACATCAGATGTACTTCATGCTTTAGTTTGTGTTGCACTGGAACCAGCCTGAATGTCATCAGTTTTGTACTGAATGGCTCTCACTCTTTGTTTTAGCTTTGTTCACTATAATGGAGAGAAAGCTCTTTGCTCACAGTATATTTTTGCTTTGTTGTCTCATCTATGCAAATCCATGTTTGGTTTAACTACTTTGTACTGTTAGGAAATCAGACTTGCTTCCAGTAAGCGCAGTGGGCCCATCTGAAAGACCTCATTTACTAGAAAAACATGCAGTAATGTGCATCCTAACTCAGTCCATGAAGCTCTCTGAGCTCAGAGCAGCTCTGCTGATGGCAGCACTGTGAGCTGCCCTCTTCCTTCATCAGCAGGAGGAGAAACATCCATGATATCCAAAATCCTTATAGAAAAGTCCCATTATGAAAAGGATCACACACAGGTCCGAAAAGAGCAGAGAAACAGAACATCTACATCTAAATATGTAAAACCATTCACTAATTTTGTTATTCAGCCATGAAGACCATTCACAGCAAACAATCATAGAATATTTACAGTACACAGAGCTTCATCTTCTTATGTTTAGGGTCAACTATACAATATAACGAATATATTTTTATGTATAACAGCAATTGTCTTTTTGGTGGGCATTGAGCAACATTTGGACAGATGCTGCAATAAGATACGGTAAAACATTTCCTCAACCTAAGGATACCTGTTATTAGTCCATGCTAAAAACTGAGATATCAAAGGAATGCATTCATTGGTTCCTCTCATTAGACCAACCCATCCTTAGCCAGAGTGACCAGTCTCCATCAGACTTTATCCAACCAATATAAAAGGATAACCAAATAAATATCTAGATTACAGATTTACGATTGGTCCATGAATGCATCAATCCTGCTCAGATGGCAGATCCTCGTTAGTATAGTGGTGAGTATCCCCGCCTGTCATGTGGGAGACTGGGGTTCGATTCCCCAACGGGGAGACGACTTTATATTCTTTTTTTTATTTACTTCTTTTTTATATGAAATTCAGGTTCAGTGATTAAAAAAAGCTATCAAAAATCATTTTGGGTTAGAAGGTTGAAGATGATCTGGGCCTGTTGCACATTAATGTACAGAGGAGAAGGCTTTTAAATGGCTCGGAGCAATAGAAACAACATGCATGTCAGTGCCTTTCACTAAGAAAATCAACAGACTCACAGGTCTAAAATGAGCCTAACATATACAAATTTAACCCAAGGCTAGATTTATTATTGAAATGACTGTATTAAAAAGTCTGTTTTTACTGAGTTTCACATTCCCATGAGCACCTGGGAATGTGTTCATCTGAAATGCTACACAAGATCTGGATGGAAATCCCAGCTTTCATTTCCCATCATGCATTGATGGGGGCCTGCACAGTTATTGTAGCCTTCAGAAAAAGGTTTGAAAAGAATTGATATGGTAATATCTAGTCAACGTATTCTACTGAGTGGGAGCTGTGTGTTTGCTCCATTAAATATGTTATGATGGCTGCGGTGTGGGTTTAGCACATAGAACAGGGCCTCCTTAGTACATCCTCAGATACATCTGATGCTGAAAGTTGGGCAGGTTTAAGAGAATCCTCTGGCTCAGAAGAACCTCTGAGGTCCGGATCAGATCAGAGAGGGGGGGTTCTTTGGGGTGTCCTCCCTCTGGTGCTGCTGTTGATGTAAAGAGGTCCACTTTGAGCTCTGTAACCTCTCTGCTCTGTGTTATTTCCTCTCTGCAGGGCAGAAAATCAACAGCTGAAGCTGGACAGAAGGCCTGGATGACCTGTGGAGCTGGAGAGGAGAGAACCATCCCAGCTTTAGAGCGGCTCAGACCTGATCTGAGGCCAGATGTTGTGTTTTTGTACAGAGATGGTCGCTTTGAGTCAGACCTTTAGGAACCGGGTGGATCTGCAGGACAGACAGATGAAGGATGGAGACGTGTCTCTGACTCTGAAGGATGTGACCGTAAAGGATACAGGAACATATCAGTGTAGAGTCAGTGAGACACAAGAAAGAAACAGAGAAATGTTCAAGAAACCACCTTCACCATCCATCTGGACGTAGCTCCTCCCCCTCCAGGTGAGTGTGTGTGGCTCTGAGGGATGGTCTCAGATGGTTTATCTTTCTTTTCCTCCCAGAGTCTCAGCTTCTTTGGCCTTTGTGTATCGGAGCTCCTGCTAACACAGCAGAACTTTTCATTTAAGCCCAAAGAGACTAATCCTTCCACTTTTTACTAATAAGGTATCTCATTAGGTTTGAAAGGCTTGTGTCATCATCTCCAAAGAAAAAGATCCTGAATAATTCCATTCAGGATCTCTCCAGCTATTCAAATCTTCAAAGGGAGGCCGGCCTGTTTAATCTGAGCTCTGCTGCCCCCTGCTGGTCACAGTGGGCTCAGCCTGAGTCTCCTCCAAAGGCAGCAGGTCAAACTCTGCTCTTCTTTGCAACGTTTCAGATGAAATGGATCTATTTAACATACTCATTGGGTCATGTTGTTTAGTTTCAAAATGCTATTGGGTCCTACATTTGTATACAAGGCCTGCCCTCAGGTGAAGAAGTCACACAACCTCCAGATTTTTGCTTGAGCATCATCCCCTCGATTTACTGGACTGGATTTATCTGATTGAAGTAAGTAAAAGGCTTTGTATAATGAATAAGACAAGATAAAATTAAAAATATGAAAACAATTTGCCAAGGATTTACTCACCTGAACGGAGGAGGAAGGGGACCGCAGAATCTTTCGGTGGAGGAACCCCGTGGACCCAAATTCCGAGGGGTCCCTCATACGCCAAAATACCGGCCAGCACCCGCCGCCCTCTTCCTGCCTTCTGGAGCGGAGGAACAGAGTATGGGAGGGGACGGCAGAACCGGAGCACAGGCCACAATGGACCGGAACAATTTCAACACCCCCGTTCGGAATATAATAATCATTATAACCGACAAGGGGGGGAAGAACGGAGCAGTTAATCTGGTTATTGAATCTGAGGACCCGAATCTTGCCGCCAAGGTAAGGATTACACACGGGATTATTAGATCAGTTCACCACTGCCAGAACGTTGGCGGATAGGAGGAACCTCCCACGATTAAAAGGATGACAGACAATCTGGCTACCTTCATAAAGCCTGCCGCTCCTAATGAGCAGACCCAGCTGCTATTGGAGGGCAGCGCGCGTTACTGGGAGATGACCACAATCAAAATATTACAGCAACATTATGAACCACCGGCGCACAGCCGCAACGCAAACGGAGCCGGGTGGAACCGGCACAGAGCCCGGAACCGGCCCCCTCCTGGACTGTGGGGCCCACGGCCCCGGTCCAGACTGCCTCTCCAAAGGCAAAAGACACGCCGGGGGCCGCAGCTTTTACCTTCTCCGGGCTGGGGGAATCACAACGGACTCGGCTGGTCCCCAGTGGGAAGCACCTTTCCTCAGGGGACATCCTCTCCACCAACCTGAAGCCCCGGGGCACGAGGAGCACCGGCAACAACGTGGGAACGGGGGCAGCGGACCGGTCAGGACGGAGATCCTACTACTACTTCAGCCCCTCAGACAGCGACAACAGGAAAACCAGCAGCGAGACGCACACGGTGACCTCACACATCCAGACCAAGAGGAAAGCAGAAGACTGGTCCCTCTGCGTCCGGAAGACCCACCTGATAATTGGGGACTCCAATCTGTCCCGAATCCCACCTTTCCGGACCTCGGATGGACAGGTGGACTCCTTCCCCGGAGCCACGTTCACACACGTGGTCCCGTTGATGGAAAACACCAGGGTTGAGACATTCATCCTTTCCTTTGGCATCAACCACAGAAACAGGAAAGTACATCTCCCCACACTTTTACTCCCACACGTCCCCAGACAACGGGGGCGCACCCTAAACGCAAGAGTGGTCTCTCTGTGTCCGGAAGAAGCACAAATCGACTCCTTTCCAGGAGCCACTCTTCACCACCTCATTCCCTTAATGAACAACACTACAGTCCACACCAAGGTAGACACTACCATTTTATCATTCAGGATCAATTATAAAGACCGTAAGTACCCCGCACCCATAAAAAACAGTTGGAGGCACATTCCCACACACAGCCATCTATATCCCTGAATTGAACTTTTCACCCCTCCTCACACGCCAACAAAAACGCATTTTAACCCGTTTGAATAGTTTTATTGTAAGTAGCTTAGCCCTCTTTTTAGCAGCACAAACCTACCGGACATTAAGGTTTATTCTAAAGACACAGACACACACGCTTTTTAGCATAAAACCAGCTTCCAGCCAAAGCACACTTTTAGAAGTGTAATTAAGTCACAGCTTTTACGCTTTTATCGCATTTGCACTCGGGTGGAAGATTTTAAAGACACTTCTCACGGCCCTCAAGGGGCGGGGTTACACCCACTCCTTTACGAGCGCGTTTTAAAACTATTTAGACAGCAAACACACCACCGGATCCATCCTCCCTCTCATAACGACTTGTTCCACATCAGCGGTGGATCCGACTCATTTTATCAAAAGGAATCATCAGAACACGGAGGAAACATTCTAAAACACACGCATAATATCTGCTTTTAGAATAAAACGGGTCAGAGCTACCCTCCCTCGGCTCTACCTCACTAAACAGGAGAAATGATGGGACTTCAGCAGCCCTCTGCATAGCTGAAAAGTGTTTTATTTGAATCAGGTGTGCAGGAGCAGGGAAACTTGGAAAACATGCAGGGCAGTGTGCCTTGAGGACCAGGGTTAGGAAACACTGCAAAACACTGACACGACCATCTACTAACAGAGACAGAGTTTAACTCAAAACTATAGTTCTAAAAGGAATCAAACAATCAGTCATTCACAGAGTTTATGTTATAGCATAAAATACTAAAGTGAGTAAGTAGAGCCCAACACGGGCAGTGACATCACTGTAGGTCTGCACACAGTAAGTCTGGACAGCAGTCCATAGGTCCAAAATTATCTGTTGGATTAGCATTCGGCTAATAGTGGATTTAACAAAACGGTACAGAAAATTAAATCATTCAAGTTTGGGAGTTTCATCTGATATTTCTGCCCTATTGCAGCTACAAACTGCCAGAAGTCAAAAGTCAGGACGAAGACAGACGCAGCTGAACTTCCCGCAGGAGCAGAAGGCCTCTGTGGCCCCCTGCGTGGCCCCTTGGTCAGCAGTGGAGACCAGCACTAGCAGACCTACAGGATGGAAACCCTGGACTCTGCTGTGGTCAGCGCCACCTGCTCAGCTCCCTGACACTATGTCACCATCTGAAACAGTTATGAACGCCTCTCAGTGCTCACCCACCTGTTGGTCAGAGTGTAAACCTGAAACCTTTTCAATCCAGCAGCTCCTCTGATGACTCTGGAGAAGAGGGACCCTCTTCACCAAGTGGGGGAAGAGGAGCCCAACCCCGGACTTTAACGTCTTTATACAGGTCCTCCCTGTAGGAATCACTGGCCAGCCACCAAACTCAACTCAGAGACCTTATCAACTGAACAGAAATCTATTCGGCTACGTTT